AAAAAAAAAAAAAAAAAAAAAAAAAAAAAAAAAAAAAAAAAAAAAAAAAAAAAAAAAAAAAAAAAAAATCTCTAAAAGGAATAAATATCTTGGAGAATATACCATCCAAACATTTGCCCAGATTTCTCCATTGACAAATTCCAGCTCATTGAGGTTATGCACCTCATCTCCTTGATATCTCACAACCCATTTATTAGTAACTGCATTAATTGGGAAAATGGCCATATGAATATTAACGAGACAATTTTTTGCTAAACTAAAACTTATGAGAATATTCGTTGCTTCAGTAAGCAATATTCATGAGATGAGAATTACATTAAGAAAGAGAGGCAGGAATGCTTAAAGATCCTTATAGTGGAGAACAGAAAACACAAACTTTTAGAGTCATGGAATTTAGTTTAGAACAAACGCTAGTTGTTACATAGAAGAGTAACCTGTAAATGTCTCTGGTTCAATTTGGTATAAAGTTGATGTCCCATCACTTCCAAACAAAACCTTTCCATCTGTTGCCAATCCCCAACCATCACTCATTTGATGAGTGAATTCCTTAACCTGCATAGAGGATAAACACAACATTATATCTTTTGTGAGATCCCACGATTGGAGAGGGGAATGAAGTATTCTTTATAAGGATGTGGAAACCTTTTCCTAAGAGACACATTTTAAAACCTTGTGGGGAAGCCCAAAGAAGACAATATCTGCTAGTGGTGGGCTTGAAGCTATTACAAATATATCAGAACCAGAGACTGGACAGCGTGCCAGCGAGGATGCTGGGTCTCCATGGGAAGTAGATTGTGAGATCCCACGTTGGTTGGAGAGGAGAACAAAGCATTCTTTATAAGAGTGTGGAAACCTCTCCCTAACAGACACGTTTTAAAACCTTGAGGGAAAACTCGGAAGGAAAAGCCAAAAGGGGATAATATCTGCTGCGGTGAGTTTGGGCGATTACATCTTTACATCTTATTGTTTAATTTCAAACCCCAAATTTTCATTACTGAAATATCAACTCATTTAACATAGTCGACGTTAGAATATAGGGCACCTCTCTGTTTAAACGTCAAAGAATAAAGGGTCCATGAACCTCATTTGCTCTAACTTTAACATGAGAAGAAAAGGTGTAATCTCAAGAAAAGGTATTAAAGATGAAGCACAAACTTTTCTTAAATTATCTCGGTCATATATGAAACCAGTTTTCTTCAACCAAGTTACTTGAAACAGCCTACAAAAGAATATAGAAATTGCTAAATTAGCAATATGAAGATTCCTTGAATATATTTATAACGGTTACAATGAATCGAGGTACATATGACACGGTGAAGTAAGAACAGATTAGATTTCGAGGATGGGAATAAATTTCAGACTGCATCCAAATGTACAAAATTAATTTAAAATAACTGAGTTTCATGAGCAGACAAAACACCAGAATAGATTCCTAGTATTATAGTACAAAGGATTCATAATTGGCTTCATTACAATTGCTTGAAAGAAGTGAATAGTTGATTTCATACTTTAATGGTTAATATCATAAACGGGAAATTTGTCATGCTTCCTTCAACAGAAATTTCCAAATGGTAACTTATTGGAAAGAACGACCGTTATCTCAATATCCGAATCAGCAACAAAATCAATGCAATTAATATCTAAACCATCACAAACCTCTCCCCAAAAAGTGTTAATCCTTCCCCAAACTGAGAGTCATCCATCTTGTGAAGAGCCTCAGCCTGTACAGGAAAATAAGTACATAAATAAAACTAACAAGAAAATGGAATGCAATGCTGAAATGTGTTTCCCTCAAACAGTTCATTTAGCCATCCATTGAAAAGGCAACATGATAAGGAAAATGCAATAAAAATTGTGAGAGGGTGTGTGGAGGGAAAAAAGGGTAAAAGGTTCGAAAAATCGTGCACTTCAAAAATTCCTCAAAGGAGCTCTCTTTCAACATCAAAACTCAAAAACATCGGCCGAATATTTTCAAATTTTCATTGATATGTAACGTGATAAAAGAAAATGAAGGTAAAAAAAGTCATGATAAAAAAACAACACTTTATTTTATTGCATGTGAGAAATCTGAAAAAGAAAAAAAGTTACCTTCCCAGTAGAGAGAGCTACTTTTCGAACTGATGACTGCAACAAAAGTCAAGATAAAAGTCACAAGAATAAGATCTAAGGATAACAAAACCATAGTAATTTAATATTCACCAAGTTACTAGATAACAAAATTTTTTTAATTATTCCGGTAGCTAAAAATGTAACAATTTCTCGATTGTAAACACACATTCGGCTTACACTTAGTTGTTCGTTAATAGCTGTTACAAATTTAGCTAAGAAACGAATGATGGATGAGAGGAATTGCATACTGAAATTTGCAAATCCGCCCTAAAATTCTAATCCGAATCTTATTTAGTGTGTCATTGAAATAAGGTGAAAGAGAAGATGCAAGGGCACAAGGCTATGATGATCAGAAATTATGACAATTAGAGGTATCGCTACGGAATAAGGATATGATGATCAGAAATTTCTCTCCACAACTACGAAGAAATGATCAGATAAAACTATGCGGATTTCAGAGTACAGGAAACAACAAACTGATGAATTTGACTTGTGAAATGCAAATTCACCTCTCCATAAAGGCCAGTGGACTCAAATAGGGTGTCATTGTCTGCATAAACCAGTCCCTGGGGAAGCACGAGACAGATTTGTCAAAATAAATACATTCCAACAGAAAACAACGTGCGATACTCATCCGATGACCCAATATTCCAAATCCACTTTCCTACTATAATTCATATCGAATAGTCAACTAAAAGCAGATAAGATCACAATGACGATACATCATTTGGAATAGGTGAATAAATCAATTCTTGATGTGAAGAAAAATGCTTAGACGGAGAACTACAGACTTCGGACCTTGTCTCTATGCATCTATATCAGTGTGTGCCTATGTCTGTGGCAATAAACAGTACTAGTGAATTTCAACAAAGTTCAACCAGAGTATAATGATCCTAGCTTCAAAGAACAGTTCTCCAGAGCCAATATCTTGACACCTTAACTTAATCGTCGTACACAAAAGCTTGAAATTCAGACTTCTGTGTAAAACATACACAAATTTTAAATGGCTCCGAAATTGGGATACCTGAGTGAAGGCTCTAGGATCGTGAGGAAATTCGTTGACCACCTCAATAGAGTAAATCATTGGCGATTGAACTTCATATTTGGCCGATCTTCGCAATACATTAAAAGAAATGCCGAAGACCAGAACAACAAAGAAAACCAGAGAACTCGAAACTAGCAGTGCAGTATTTCTAGGGGTAAGGAAACGTTGATGAGAAGGTCGAGAAGCCATGGCTGCAGGGGGCTTGGAGTTCGATCGCTTAGACTGCCTCCTCTTCAAGGATCCGGCCGCCATTAGATGGCAAATTGTTCATTGATAGCAAAGAAGACAAAGAAAGAATCCAATGGGTTTGGCAGGGATTAGGTAGAGCATGGAGATTGTGAGGCAAAACAAGTAACGCTCTGTTTGGAGCTGAATCTGGTGGACTTCGGATTCTCCATTGCAGATTCGTCTCCAACCTTTGATTCAACTCCAGATATGAAAAGTTCAAGCAAAAAAAAGGAAAAAAAAAAAGTCAACAAAAATGAACTAAAAACCATATAAATTTTTAATTTTTTTAATAATATTATTTTAACTTTATAATATATTTTTGTTCACCCCTACTTTATTTTAAAAATACATTTTTACAATTTATATTAAAAAGACTTGCGCATAATTTAAAGTGTTTTTTTGATAAATAATAAATCAGTAACAGAAACTAAATTTAAGATTTCTTAAAAATATAGGAAATTGATTAAAAAATTATTTAATGGCAAAATAAGTTTTGTTGTATGCGCGCGAATTCTTCACCAGCAATACATGACAATCACGAACATTCCAGAGACCCACAACTGAAGAACGTTCTCGATCTCGCGGTTCGCGGCCCAAACGTCCAAGAGAAACCGATCGGCAACAGGCTGTACGACGCCGTTTCGACATCGACCGCCAAATATGATTAATATAAGCTCGCGAGAAATGTAGAAGGATCGAGACTCTGCGCTATTCTTATTCCACTATAAATACATTCATCCTCTACGTCTGGAAAGCAATTCTGAGTTACAGTTAATACCTGTGAATATCATCTTCAATCTCTTCGCTCTCTTGCAAGTTCTTTTTCATCTGCTTTGAGTTTTTCTTCATTCGCGAGTTTGTGTGTGTTCAATGGCGGACGTGCAGATGGCTGATGCTGAGACCTTCGCCTTCCAGGCCGAGATTAACCAGCTTCTCAGTTTGATTATCAATACTTTCTACAGCAACAAGGAGATTTTCCTTCGAGAGCTTATCAGCAACTCCTCTGACGTGAGTTTCTTTTTTTACTTCCTTCTCTGTTCTTGTATCTTGTTTCCATTGAATGTCAAGCGTCGTCGAGATTTCAGTGGATTGTTTTGTTTCTGAATCTTCGAATGCTTAATTGTTTGGTTTTGATCATCTTTAGGCGTTGGACAAGATTCGATATGAGAGTTTGACTGATAAGAGCAAACTTGACGCTCAACCAGAGCTTTTCATCAGAATTGTTCCGGACAAGGACAACAAAACTCTCTCCGTCATTGATAGTGGAGTCGGAATGACTAAAGCAGGTGAGAGAAGGGTCGAAATATTTCTTCATTTCTGTTAGAGTCTGTTCGCCAGAATGCCGTTGCGACATGGGATGTTGGATTTAATTTCTGATATTGTTTCTTGAATGCAGATCTGGTGAATAACTTGGGAACCATCGCAAGGTCGGGGACCAAAGAATTCATGGAGGCATTGCAGGCCGGCGCCGATGTCAGCATGATCGGTCAATTCGGTGTAGGGTTCTATTCGGCTTACCTTGTGGCCGAGAAGGTGATTGTGACCACAAAGCACAATGACGACGAGCAATACGTATGGGAATCGCAGGCCGGTGGTTCCTTCACTGTCACAAGGGACGTCAGTGGAGAGCAACTCGGAAGGGGTACCAAGATCACACTCTTCCTCAAGGAGGATCAGGTAATGAAATCAACGCAGTTCATATAACGGTCTGTTCTTAGGATAAGAAATTGGAATATTGGGAATACTGAATTTCGTAGATGAAATGGAAATGTACAAATTTTATCGAATGCGGTACTAATTGGATGTATAATTGTTCAGTTGGAGTATTTGGAAGAGAGAAGGATCAAGGACCTCGTGAAGAAGCACTCTGAGTTCATCAGCTATCCCATCTATCTGTGGACCGAGAAGACTACTGAGAAGGAGATCAGCGACGATGAGGAGGACGAACCTAAGAAGGAAGAAGAAGGAGACGTCGAAGAGGTGGACGAGGAGAAGGAGACCAAGTCAAAGAAGAAGAAGATCAAAGAGGTTTCTCACGAATGGCAACTCATCAACAAGCAGAAACCCATCTGGCTGCGCAAGCCTGAAGAGATCACCAAAGATGAGTATGCATCATTCTACAAGAGCTTGACAAACGACTGGGAGGAACACCTTGCAGTGAAACATTTCTCCGTGGAAGGACAGCTCGAGTTCAAAGCAATCCTCTTTGTCCCGAAGAGGGCTCCGTTTGATCTCTTCGACAGCCGTAAAAAACTGAACAACATAAAGCTCTATGTAAGAAGGGTGTTCATCATGGACAACTGTGAGGAGCTGATCCCCGAGTACCTTGGATTCATCAAAGGAGTGGTTGATTCCGACGATCTGCCGCTCAATATCTCACGTGAGATGTTGCAGCAGAACAAGATTCTGAAGGTGATAAGGAAGAATTTGGTGAAGAAGTGCATTGAAATGTTCAATGAAATCGCGGAGAACAAAGAGGACTATAACAAGTTCTATGAGGCCTTTTCTAAGAACTTGAAGTTGGGTATCCACGAAGACAGCCAAAACAGAGCCAAATTGGCTGATTTGCTGCGATTCTACTCCACCAAAAGTGGAGATGAAATGACGAGCCTGAAGGATTACGTCACCAGGATGAAGGAGGGTCAGAAGGACATCTACTACATCACCGGTGAGAGTAAAAAGGCAGTGGAGAATTCCCCCTTCTTGGAACGCCTGAAGAAGAAAGGCTACGAGGTGCTTTTCATGGTCGACGCCATTGATGAGTATGCCGTTGGGCAACTGAAAGAGTACGATGGCAAGAAGCTAGTGTCTGCCACCAAGGAAGGACTTAAACTTGATGATGAAACAGAGGAAGAGAAGAAGAAGAAGGAGGAGAAAAAGAAGTCATTTGAGAACCTTTGCAAGACTATTAAGGACATCCTTGGTGACAAAGTTGAGAAGGTCGTTGTCTCCGACAGGATAGTGGACTCTCCTTGCTGCTTGGTCACCGGCGAATACGGCTGGACGGCAAACATGGAGAGAATCATGAAGGCTCAAGCTCTCAGGGACAACAGCATGGGTGCTTACATGTCAAGCAAGAAGACAATGGAGATCAACCCAGATAATGGAATCATGGAGGAGCTAAGGAAAAGAGCCGAGGCGGACAAAAACGACAAATCCGTCAAGGATTTGGTCATGCTCCTCTTCGAAACTGCTCTATTGACTTCTGGTTTCAGCCTTGATGATCCGAATACATTTGCTGCGAGAATCCACAGAATGTTGAAACTTGGTCTTAGCATCGATGAGGAGGAAAATGAAGGAGGAGATGATGCGGACATGCCTGCTTTGGAGGAAGATGGTGCTGAAGAGAGCAAAATGGAGGAGGTCGACTAAGCCTTCTTATTATCAGCTTCAAGTTTCTTTAGCCGTCACCGTGTCGATATTGAGATGTCTGTGAATGTGTTTTGTGTGTTGAGTCATTGATCAGCGTCAATGTCGGTTTTGGTTCCTCTTCTTTTCTATTTTCTCTGTTGTATTCAATATATGAACAGATACTTCTTTTCTTCTCTTCCGCATTTATCTTCTCTGTGCCCTAATGAATTATTTCTAGGAAACAAATATCCATACTTTACGTGAAAGCTATAAGATACAGAAGCAACCTCGCACTGTGTACATACTCGGAACGGGGACTACAGGAACGTTCTTCCCTCTTGCTCTAAGAAGCGACAGTGAGCGAATATACAACAGCAATACAATACTAGTTATCTAGTTCAGTAGCATTAAGGAAGGCTCAATTAGGTACAGTTCGGTGAAGTAGTAGCTGCCGTTGCTATCTCCAACGGTTGAGGTCTCCAGCTTTGTTCTTGTTACTAACCATGTTCCATGAAGGCATCATATGACGAGAGTACCTTTTTCTGCAAGGTGGTATCATGTAATCAAAACGAAAGTAATCAATAACAGAGGGAAGTATCTCTTTCCGAGAAAGAAAAACTTCCAGCTTCGATGTTAAGGGTTGGAGTTAAATGGAAGGATCCTAAATGATGTGCGGAAGCACAATGGAAATATGGTTAACAATTGTTTTGCCTCAGAAACTGTGTGCAAAAGCAGAAATTCGTTAGTGAAGACAGAGATCTAGATAGATACTCACATGGTCCTCAAAGTCGGGGCCGGTGAGATTAATGGCCAGGTTTCTCATGAGCAACATCACCTGGAGAGGGAATAAGAGTATCAGATATATACTACATAAGTTGTTTCAAGCATATGATATGATATGATTTATATTATGTTTAAAGGATATAATCTTTGAAGTTAAATGCGGGACCAAGTGAACTGGCTGGTTGGCCTAAATTTTGGATGGAAGTAAAGCTACGCAGTCATGTAGTGGGATGCAAGGCAATGAAGTGGGAACGAAGAACATACAGTTTCGACGTCTATTTGGTCCATCTGTTTTAACTTCTGCAAATGATCCGAGGCTTTTGGGTCGAACACGCTGCCAATGAAGTTGTAGACTTGACCAAAATCTGGCAGTACTGCATTGAATTGAAGATTTAAAATGCATCAACAACGGTCACGGTAATATGATGTAATGGAAAAACAAAGAAGCATTCTTCAGGACAATTTTCTCTGAGTCTAAATCATTAGGTGAAGGAACTGAAATTTGTAAATGCCGTATGGACTACAGTAACCTAATGTACTACCCAGGCTGGAGAAATTATTGAAATAACGTAACTATCAAAGTTTTCACCTCTCAACTGAAGCTTGTTATGTTCCTCGACGCTTGATTTAGTTGGAAAGCGTGCTCTTGTAGTGCGGTCTGTGCTACTGCAACAATTGTTTTCTATAACTTGCCCTGCAGACACGAAAGAGAAAGGAAACAGCTAGATGAAATCAAAGCATCCAAAACAAAATGAAAAAAAGTTCGTGAGTTATCAAGTAATTAAATTTCCAACCCCTTTCTATTCCAAGAAAAAGATAAAGATAACAAGATCATTTTCAGATTCAGACTCTTGTTTGTGATTTCACAACTCTAACCTCTTGCACTTTGAGAGAAATTAACCATCTGGGTAGAGTTATCCGCCATGAAACTCGCAGGAGCAGAAGAGGAATCTGGCTTTATAATATAATTCGGTTGAAGAGAAGAAGATTGAAATGGCCCTGACACTAGCGCAAGAGCTGAGACCACAATGGGTTGGCATTACGAGAAAGCGTTGGCAAAATTATGCTGTCAAAAGACAATCTACAAATTGAACTTGTACTGACCATTTGTTGAAGTCTTTTGAGGATATGGACGAGCAGCTTTCCTCTTTGGTCGTGGAGGAGGTAGGTGTTCGCCTGTCCCACTCTTCTCAACCTTCAGGAAGTACTTCTGAGCGTGACTTCGTATCTGATAAGAATCATCATCATCTTTACTACTTATAATAGAAGAGCCAAAGCTTGAAGAATTCGAGCATGATTTGTTTTGACCAAACATAACAGGATATTATATTTACTTCATAATCTTTAAATTTTCGTATATTTTGCATTACTCTGTACTCTAAATTATGTAACAAAGTGCCAATTTCCAGAACTTATCTATAATCTTAAAAACGCTATTGAAGAACAAAAATTCCAGAAAGACGAATAACATCGTTATTTCTCGATAACTAACGAGAAAAGAACGAAAACATTCCAGATTTGTTCATTAGATTCGTAGGATAAAAATGGGACGTAAGACGAGTGTGTTCATTACCTGAATGACGGTCTTCGACCCTACAAAGGCCTCAATCTTCTTCCAGTCACGATCAAATCTGAAGCATACAATCAAAGAGAAGATACACGAACGATTAGATCGGAAACAAACACAAAAGCAACAATTCAAATGCTTCCGGACATTTCTTCCAAATAATCAAAAAACAGACCAGAATTCCTCTCCTGATGAAAGAAAACAAAACAAACAGTCAAATACTCCAAAATCACTCCGAAAACAAATCGCGCGGCCTCCACTCGTCAATTCAGAAACCACAAATCAAAGACGATGCCGGATACGAGCATACAACCGCACAGAGATATGAAATCTTATCAAGACGGGCAAAAATTTAAATCAAATTAGAAAAATATCCACAACAAAAAAGAGAAAAACAGGAGGATGAAGAAGAACAAAGAAGCTCGAAAATATATCGGAGAGAGAAGAATATACAGTTGAATAGCTTCGAGGAACTTATCGTGCTCAGGCTCAGTCCAGCTCTCTCTGCACTTGGTGATGGTGTAAGGTTTCCGAGCTCTTTTCAATAGGTCATCTCGCAACGACGTAGCAGCAGTGTCGAACGGTAACGCCATTTGAACGGATCTAATTCGGAATCAACAGCCGTGCTCGGCCCGAGCACGAGGTTCGAGAAATGGCAGTTTGCTGTCGCCAGCGCCATTGATATTTCCGTGCAGATACTTAAAAATTATCCAATGCGCCGGGCGTAGGATTGGCATAGTGTAATCGAGTTACTGGAAGCTGCCACGTGTTTTTTTTTCGGGTTAATTGGCGGGAATCAGGGCGGGGTAGGAAGAAGGTCGCGGCTGGGACATTGGAGGGAAAGAAGGGAAACCGTTACATGGGGAGCGGAAAAAGGAGTAAAACATAGTGCCCTTATAAACCGGTAGACACGTGTCGGTGGCTTTAAAAAGTGGGTTTTAATACATTCCAGTGGAAGATATTTTTATTGGGACCCACGCAACTCGAATCTGTACCACTGATCCGACATTGGGTCAGTTTCTTATCCAGTTGAGATTTTCTTTTCCATAAATTGAATTTATATATTGTAATAAATGTTGGCCGAATTTCCAAACTTCAAGTTGAAAATGTTGTTTTTAAATGTCAATTTAATCCTAATTTTTATTACTTATTTTATTTATAATATTTATTAATTACAAAGACTAGAATTCAAATAACATTAACTTGTTCTAAAGACTATATATTATTATTACTATTATATAATGATTATTTTCTGAATTGAGGCCACATGCTTCTTGCCCGCATCCTCATCTAATTAAACCCTTTAAGTAACAAGTAGCTTCACGAGACTATTTGATATCAACAAAAATAAAATAAAAACTGCGCTCTATGATCCATCTGCTTGCTTCAGCTTCTCGTACGATTTCCTTGAAACCTATAAATAAAATATAAATTCGAAGATTAAAATACACGAAGCTCAATGGAAATAGAGAAGGAAAAAAAAAAAAAAAAAAAA